TGGGTCCCTTTTTTGGGGCAGCTGTAGCGTGTGAGGGGCTCATCAGAAGATAGAGAAGGTGATGAGTCCACGGAGGGTTCGTTCGAGGCATTGACTGACGTGTAGTCGATAGTGAGATAGCTATAGTAGAGAATGAGAGAAGGCTAGTAAAACAGTGACTAGAATCATTGTAGTTTAAACACAGTACTTTAGACTCCTAAGATGACCTAAGGCGCGTTCACAGCCTCCTTAGCTAAGGGAGATATTAGCCCGGGGCTAAGCGAGTGTTCAGACTTGCACATTCTAACGTGGGCTAGCATCAACCTAGCTGGCCCTGCTCCGGAGCAGGGTTAGAGATGACTTTTTCGGGATTAGCCCCCAAAACAACGGTGCAAAAATAGCCAGTGTGAAACAGGGTCATGTACAAAAGCCCCACTTTCACTTAATGTAATGTGTTCTGCACGTTATTTTGATAAGTCAATTCATGCTATTTAATCCTTCCATCTGAGGACAAAAAAACAAAATACATTCATCTGTGCAAAAAATGGTTGCTATGCAGGCTGGCTAATTTCTTCTAACTTAGCCAACTAAAGCTACAAACTCTACAGCTGGAACGGCAGTAAACTGCTCAATTTCCCTCCTTTTCATAGCTTTTCTATTAACATTTAATTGCATATATCCATGATAATAATATTGTTGCATGATTTCGCCTGGATCAGAATAGTTTGTCTCGTTCGTTCACAGCATTCTCTGTACAGGGGAGAGATCAAATTTCAAAAGTGAAACATTGTTTCCGATGTCGGACAGGCAGAGAGCAAGGTTTGTACAAACCATCACTGTTGGAAATCAAATGCTAGGCCAGAAGCAATATGAAATAATGTGTTAATTAATGTGTAATGTGCTTTATAACGTTGGTCTCGTGTCAGAGATCGCATGGTCGCATGTTGTGTTTGTCCGTTAGCCCAGGGCTGAACACACGCTAAGCTAACCCAGGGCTGAACACACGCTAAGCTAACCCAGGGCTGAACACACGCTAAGCTAACCCAGGGCTGAACACACGCTAAGCTAACCCAGGGCTGAACACACGCTAAGCTAACCCAGGGATGAACACACGCTAAGCTAACCCAGGGCTGAACACACGCTACGCTAGCCCAGGGCTGAACACACGCTAAGCTAACCCAGGGCTGAACACACGCTACGCTAGCCCAGGGCTGAACACACGCTAAGCTAACCCAGGGCTGAACACACGCTAAGCTAACCCAGGGCTGAACACACGCTACGCTAGCCCAGGGCTGAACACACGCTAAGCTAACCCAGGGCTGAACACACGCTAAGCTAACCCAGGGCTGAACACACGCTAAGCTAACCCAGGAATGAACACACGCTAAGCTAACCCAGGGCTGAACACACGCTAAGCTAACCCAGGGCCAGTCTAGCCCTGGGGCTAAGAACAATGCGGCATGAAAAGGCCTCGTGTCCCACTGAAGGTAAAAATCACACTCTTCACTCATAACAAAATGATTACGTTACATTACGTCAGGTCTGTCTGGTCGTTCACAACACAATTCAAGTCATAAAAAAAATGTATCTTTAATTACAATAATTACAAGTGGGATGCAGACACATCTCTGTAGAAACACACCAGTCACATTCACGCCATACTCTGTGGTAGAAGACGGCTAACGAGACTGTCACGCCCTGGCTCTGGGGACTCTTATATGTTGAGCCAGGGTGTGTAGGGTCTATGTTTTGTGGTCTATGTTCAGTTTCTAGTTCATGTGTTTTCTAGGTTGGCCGGGGTGGTTCTCAATCAGAGGCAACGAGAATCAGCTGTTGCTTGTTGTCTCTGATTGGGAACCATACTTAGGCAGCCTGTTGTGCACTTGTGTTTTGTGGGATCTTGTTCCGTGTTGGTTTGTGTTGTTAACCGAGGACTTCACGTTTCGTTTGGATGTTTTGTATTTTGTATCGTGTTGCCAGTACACTATTAAAAAGATGTACGCATATCACACTGCGCCTTGGTCCAATCATTATGACGATCGTGACAGAAGACAACAAACTGACAAGGATGGAGGAGGTTGTTCTTACTGAAGGCACACAAAAACAAAGTCTGGAACCCTGTTGAAAACATCAACTTTGATTCCATTTACAGATTTATGTCACGATAGGATTCAACTTCAGCTCAGAATCAAATGAACCCATTGGATCAATCCATGAACTTGAGTCACGCAATGATGACGTCATGGACATGAGTCATAGTGGTGATGTCATCAAGAGACAGACGTTATCTTCAGATAATGAACAAAAAAAAGGCACTTTTCCTTGTTTGTTCATTTGTGATTTAGATCTTTCCAATTTAATAGGAGTTAATTTGACAAGCAGGTCACAAGGTGAGGCCAAAATGACTGATGTCCCACCCGGGACGAAGAGGACTAAGAAAGGAAGTATTTCTGCAAAAATGACTATAGGGCCTTCTAGTGACACATACCTCTTCTCCTATAGAACTGGGGCTTCTTTCTAAGGTAGTTGGTACCTGAGTACTCTGGTTCTCCACAGGCCTCAGCTGAGCCAGGGGCTAGAGAAGTGGGGTTACCCAGAGTAAGGCCCTCTGTAGTGGGGGTGGGAGGTGGAGTAGTCCCCCTGGGGCTGGACACTAGCTGGTTCAGATTCTGGTTCAGACTTCTTCTTTTTCCTACTCACGTGATAGTAGTGTTTCTTGGGCTGGAGACAACACAGAAAGACAGACAGAAGTTTCAAGTCAGTGAGTTCAACATCTGACAACCATAAATACTCACGTTAATAGTTTTAAACGTAATTCCAGCGATTCATAAGGTATGTCTTTATGTAAAATTCTCAGAAACACAGAACTGTCAAGTGATGTTTGTTCCTATTGTATACAGAGGGTCAGTCATGTCAAACCACATCGTTGGAAGAACATTGCCATAACGTTTGCCCACCTGTCCACTCCAGGTATCCGATGATCACCTTGTCACACAGCTCACAGGTAAGACGGCTTCTCTTGTTCCTCTGCCCCCGCCCCGTCCACTCTCATTGGCTCAACGGTAGGCCGCTCCCCCGAAGGTGGAGTTAAAGAGGAGGAAGTGAGCAAAATCAAATCGGTAGAGAGGTGTCGAGGTAGAGAGATAGAGAGGTCGAGGTCGAGGTCGAGGTCGAGGTAGAGATATAGAGAGAACTGAGTAAGTAATGTTCAGTCTGAAGCTACTTTGAAAGCCTAAAATGAAATGAACATTAAAATAATCTCTAGATATTTTACTCAATAAAGACTGAATGCTAAGTTAAAAGGCTACCAAGCTTGCTAGGAAAGAACCGACCCGGCTGCAACATTAATTAGTGAGAGGCGTGAAGCCCCTGAGCCCAACAATGGCAGCAGAGTTCCTCCCCCACCCAAATGCAGAGGCCTCTTTAGCCCCTTGCTCCATGGCTTCCCTCTGTTTAGAGATCACCACAGTACCCCCCTTGGATGTTAAAAATGACAAGGCACGGAAAGAGTACAAAGAGAAGCTCCTCATGGACAATCCAGAGACACTTTTTGCTGACTGCTACAAAAATGGGAACGTAAGCAAACTAATCTTCCACACAGACCAACCCTGGGCATGGCACACAGCCATAAGAGCCCACTGGCCCTCTTTTAAGAGAGAGGGTATTGGCGGAGGGTGGTGCAGGGCAACAGTGGAGGGCAACTTCATACATTTCCAAAATGACTTCCACAGAATCGAAGTTAGAGCACAACAGGAGAAGCTTTCTCTTGGTGACGACCCCCCCCCCCCCCCCCCCCCCGAGTGCATTGTATCACCCCCCTCCCCCCCAGCACTGAATGATCCCAGGTCCCACAACTGCACTGCTCCTCCATCACTGAGAGGGATGAATTCACCGAGCTGGAGAGAGACATGGTGGAGCTCAGAGAGCTGGTCCACACACTCCAGACAGAACAGACACTAAAACAGACCAGCACAACACCACCCCCCCTACAGTACCCAGAGGGCTGAAACAGACCAGCACAACACCACCCCCCCCTACAGTACCCAGAGGGCTGAAACAGACCAGCACAACACCACCCCCCCCTACAGCACCCAGAGGGCTGAAACAGACCAGCACAACACCACCCCCCCTACAGCACCCAGAGGGCTGAAACAGACCAGCACAACACCACCCCCCCCTACAGCACCCAGAGGGCTGAAACAGACCAGCACAACACCACCCCCCTATAGTACCCAGAGGGCTGAAAACAGACCAGCACAACACCACCCCCCTATAGTACCCAGAGGGCTGAAACAGACCAGCACAACACCACCCCCCCCCCCCCCCCCCCCCCCCCCCCCTACAGTACCCAGAGGGCTGAAACAGACCAGCACAACACCATCCCCCCTACAGTACCCAGAGGGCTGAAACAGACCAGCACAACACCACCCCCCCCCCCCTACAGTACCCAGAGGGCTGAAACAGACCAGCACCCCCCCTACAGTACCCAGAGGGCTGAAACAGACCAGCACAACAACACCCCCCCTACAGTACCCAGAGGGCTGAAACAGACCAGCACAACACCACCACCACCCCCCCCCCCCCCCCCCTACAGTACCCAGAGGGCTGAAACACACCAGCACAACACCACCCCCCCCCTACAGTACCCAGAGGGCTGAAACAGACCAACACAACACCACCCCCCCCCTACAGTACCCAGAGGGCTGAAACAGACCAGCACAACACCACCCCCCCTACAGTACCCAGAGGGCTGAAACAGACCAGCACAACACCACCCCCCCCCCCTACAGTACCCAGAGGGCTGAAACAGACCAGCACAACAGCACCCACCCTACAGTACCCAGAGGGCTGAAACAGACCAGCACAACACCCCCCCCCCCCCCCCCCCCCCCCCCCTACAGTACCCAGAGGGCTGAAACAGACCAGCACAACACCACCCACCCTACAGTACCCAGAGGGCTGAAACAGACCAGCACAACACCACCCCCCCCTACAGTACCCAGAGGGCTGAAACACACCAGTACAAATCAAATCAAATCACATTTTATTGGCCACATGCGCCGAATACAACAGGTGCAGACATTACAGTGAAATGCTTACTTACAGCCCTTAACCAACAGTGCATTTATTTTTTACAAAAAAGTAAAAATAAAACAACAACAAAAAAAGTGTTGAGAAAAAAAGAGCAGAAGTAAAATAAAATAACAGAAGGGAGGCTAAATATACAGGGGGGTACCGGTGCAGAGTCAATGTGCAGGGGCATCGGCTAGTTGAGGTAGTTGAAGTAATATGTACATGTGGGTAGAGTTAAAGTGACTATGCATAAATAATTAACAGAGTAGCAGCAGCGTAAAAGGATGGGGTGGGGGGGCAGTGCAAATAGTCCGGGTAGCCATGATTAGCTGTTCAGGAGTCTTATGGCTTGGGGGTAGAAGCTGTTGAGAAGTCTTTTGGACCTAGACTTGGCACTCCGGTACCGCTTGCCGTGCGGTAGCAGAGAGAACAGTCTATGACTAGGGTGGCTGGAGTCTTTGACAATTTTGAGGTCCTTCCTCTGACACTGCCTGGTATAGAGGTCCTAGATGGCAGGAAGCTTGGCCCCAGTGATGTACTGGGCCGTACGCACTACCCTCTGTAGTGCCTTGCGGTCGGAGGCCAAGCAGTTGCCATACCAGGCGGTGATGCAACCAGTCAGGATGCTCTCGATGGTGCAGCTGTAGAATTTTTTGAGGATCTGAGGACCCATGCCAAATCTTTTCAGTCTCCTGAGGGGGAATAGGCTTTGTCGTGCCCTCTTCAAGACTGTCTTGGTGTGTTTGGACCATGATAGTTCGTTGGTGATGTGGACACCAAGGAACTTGAAGCTCTCAACCTGTTCCACTACAGCCCCGTCGATGAGAATGGGGGCGTGCTCAGTCCTCTTTTTTTTCCTGTAGTCCACAATCATCTCCTTTGTCTTGGTCACGTTGAGGGAGAGGTTGTTATCCACCCCCTTACAGTACTCAGAGGGCTGAAACAGAGCAGCACAACACCCCCCCCCCCCCCCCCCCCCACCCCCCCCCCCTACAGTACCCAGAGGGCTGAAACAGACCAGCACAACACCACCCCCCCCTACAGTACCCAGAGGGCTGAAACAGACCAGCACAACACCACCCCCCCTACAGTACCCAGAGGGCTGAAACAGACCAGCACCCCCCCCCCCCCCCTACAGTACCCAGAGGGCTGAAACAGACCAGCACAACACCCCCCCCCCCCCCCCCCCCCTACAGTACCCAGAGGGCTGAAACAGACCAGCACAACACCACCCCCCCCTACAGTACCCAGAGGGCTGAAACAGACCAGCACAACACCACCCCCCCTACAGTACCCAGAGGGCTGAAACAGACCAGCACAAACACCCCCCCCCCCCCCCCCCCCCCCCTACAGTACCCAGAGGGCTGAAACAGACCAGCACAACACCACCCCCCCCCCCCCCCCCCCCCCCCCCCCCCCTACAGTACCCAGAGGGCTGAAACAGACCAGCACAACACCACCCCCCCCCCCCCCCTACAGTACCCAGAGGGCTGAAGGTGTGAGATAGACGGCTGTCTGAGAGAGCTGGCTGCACTCCGGTATGAGGTCAGAGAACTTAAGGAGGAGAGAGAGGAACACATGGCACAGCTAATAGAGGAACACAGAGTCCAGCTAACAGAGGAACACACAGTCCAATGTGAGCAAGACAAAGGAGTTGATCGTGGACTACAGGAAAAGGCGGGCCTAACAGGCCCCCATTAACATCGACGGGGCTGTAATGGAGCGGGTCGAGACTTTCAAGTTCCTTGGTGTCCACATCACCAACAAACTATCATGGTCCAAACACACCAAAACAGTTGTGAAGAGGGCGCGACAACACCTTTTCCCCCTCAGGAAACTGAAAAGATTGTCATGGGTCCCCAGATCCTCAAAAAGCTGCAGCATCGCGAGCATCCTGACCGGTTGCATCACCGCCTGGTATGGCAACTGCTCGGCATCTGACCGTAAGGTGCTACAGAGGGTAACGCGAACGGCCCAGTACATCACTGGGGCCAAGCTTCCTGCCATCCAGGACCTCTATACTAGGAGGTGTCAGAGGAAAAGCCCAAAAATTGTCAGAGACTCCAGTCACCCAAGTCATAGACTGTTATCTCTGCTACCGCGCGGCAAACGGTACTGGAGCGCCAAGTCTAGGACCAAAAGGCTCCTTAACAGCTTATACCCCCAAGCCATAAGACTGCTGAACAATTAATCAAATGGCCACCCAGACTTTGTACATTGACACCTCCCCCCTTTGTTTTTACACTGCTGCTACTCACTGTCTATTATCTATGGATAGTCACTTTACCCCTACCTACATGTAAAATTACCTCGACTAACCTGTACCCCCACACATTGACTCGGTACCGGTACCCCCTGTATATATCCTCGTTATTGTTATTTTATTGCGTTACTTTTTATAATTGTTTACTTTAGTTTATTTTGTAAATATTTTCTTAACTCTTTCTTGAACTGCATTGTTGGTTAAGGGCTTGTAAGTAAGCATTTCACGGTAAGGTTGTATTCGGCGCATGTGACAAATAACATTTTATTTAATGATTTGAAACAGGGAAGAGACTCAGGGGTTAACTTGGTATAGAGCAGACCTAACCCACTCTATTAGTCAAAACAGGAACATTTTACATCTGGCTAGAAATTAATAAGGAAATAATCTCAACAGAGAAACATGTCCTCATGTCTGCTACCTATATCCCCCCACTAGAATCCCCATACTTTAACGATGACAGCTTCTCCATCCTGGAGATGGGAATCAATCATTTCCAGGCCCAGGGACATGTTCTAGTCTGTGGCAACCTAAATGCCAGAACTGGACAAGAACCTGACACTCTCAGCACACAGGGGGACAAACACCTACCTGGAGGCAACAGTATTCCCTCCCAAATATGCCACCCTAGACACAACTATGACAAAACAACCAACAAAAATGAGTCACAACTCCTGCAGCTCTGTCGCACACTGGGTATGTACACTGC